CTGGCTGTGTGGTCCTCGAAAAGCAGACGCCACGCACAGGAAACGTGACGGAAAATGAGAAAACAAGTTTGTTTCTTTTTCGAGCAAGGGACTAATTTTAGCCATTTGCCGCTCTTTTTGCCTCCACCAGTGTGTCGTGGCGTTTTCCGTTGTGCCGACACTTGTCGAATCTCGCGTCGAACAGCACCCTAGCAGCGGACTGTTTCCGCGGGTCGTCCCGCTCGGGTGCGAGAGAGACAGAGAGAAGGCTGGCGAGGCGAGTAGGCTACCCGGCGACAGCCGTGTGGGCGTGCGGCCTACTCGCCAGGCGCTCCGACCAGGACAGCAGCCCTTAAGCGTGAGGGAGACGGCCTGCTGGACGCGGCGGCGCACTGTGAGTGTGCGTGAGGGAGAGAGAGAGAGAGAGAGAGAGAGAGAGAGAGAGAGAGAGAGAGGAAGAGAGAGCGGGAGCAGGCCAGGGGTCAATGCGACGGCGCGGCGGCCGAGGCGGCCGGGCCGAGGCATTCCGAGTGTCCCCACAATGGGCCCTAGATGGAGAGCCCCCCGGGCGCGCCTCCGCCGGCACCGCCACCGGCAGCCACCGGCAGGCAGGCCGTCGAGTCCCGCACGCGTACACTGGGAATGCGCAGAACGCAAAGCACCCCGTCTCCCTCGCACACCAGCGGAACGCCGCGCGGGTGCGAGAGAGACGGGGCGACCAAGTGGCCAGCAAATAACGGAAATAACGCGGATGCCGGGGCGGGGAGGCGGCGAGGCACGGCGGCCACACTGTAAGTCTGCAAGGCGAGGCCGCCGATCCACGCGACAACGCGCGCTCTATTAAACCAAACCCCGCGGAACTAAAGCCCGCGAGCGTCGCGGTCGCTCGCCGAGGGGAGGGGAGGGGGACCGCGACGCCTGGTTGACCACTGAGGAGACATCAAAGCCGTCTGTCTCACTTCGCCGCGGACCCCTCCCCTCCCCTTCCCCGCACCTCGCGTCGTCATATTTTGGGAGACTGCGGGGCCTTTATCTGCATCTCGCCGCCGCGGCTGCAGCCGGCGGACCAGCCAGCCGCGCTCCGTCTCTCTCGCACTCGCGGGGCGCGCCGTAGGGCCGCAGGGGTGCGAGAGAGACAGAGCGAGACAGATCCGCCGTGTTACACGGGACAAAACGCGGCGAGTGCCAACAATAAAGCCATCTCGCCGCGCGCGCGCTAAGCGAGGGCGACGTGGTCGAAAGGCCGAAATGACACAAATAATTACGGAGGCTAGTCCATCATACCGGCAGGGCCGGGCGGGGCGGCCCCGGGGGCGGAGGGGCAGCGGCGCCTTTGAAATTCGCTTTATGAAAAATTCAGAAATAATTGAGTGAGGGCTGCCGCGTCGCGACGAGGAGGTCCCCCAGGTCCGCGCGAGGCCGAGGCCCCCGACGACGGCACGGCGGGGACGAGGTTTGCGGTGAAAAATGCGCTTCTGTGGGAGGTTCCTAGCCGCGCCTCTCCCCGCCGACGCAGATCCCGGCGCGAGATAACCGGCGCGTTTGTGTGTCTTGTGCATGTTAATGGCAATTACGGTGCAGGGACGCGACGCACTCACACAATCACAGAAGCGACTCCTCGCGGAGGGCTCCGTTCAGGCAGCGCCACCAAGGCGCCTGTCACCAAGTGACCATCGCGCAACGACGGCGTGCTTGACGGACGGCGGCAACCAAAACCCGAGAATGGGAGCGACAACACGGGAAGAAGGAGCCGGCGTAAGAAGAAAACCCCGCGCGCCTGAGTGTGTGTGTGTGTGTCTGTGTGTGTGCATTTCTAAAGACGAAGGCACACATACTGGCAGGGCGGCGTGCCGTGGCCGCCAGCAATCGGCCGAGAAATGAAGGTGGGTGATGGGGCGGCCAGGACCGCGACGGCGGGCGCGGGGAAGCACCCCGACGACGACAGCACCTCGCCGACGACGACGCCGGCCTGACGGGCGGAAATTTCTCTTGGCAAATGGAGTCGCCTCCCGGCCGGGCCCTCGGAACGGATTGAAAAATTGCCGCCGCGAGAAATTTACTTAAAATACCTGGAAGCGGGGCGCGGTCGCGGCGCGCACCGGGCGGCGGCGTTCGAGGCCGCGGGCGAGGAGCGCGAGCCGCGCGCCGGGCAGAGACAAATGAGCGCCCCACGGCCGCGCCGCCACGCCGCGGCCGCCGAGCAGGCCGAGCAGGCCGAGGACTCGAGGGGTTCGACGGCCGGGCGGAAGGCGCGGAAGGCGCGCCGCGGTAATGCCCAACACAAACACACCGAGAATCAGCATTTCAAAGGATTACGTCCCGGACGCCCGGTCGCACCGCAGCACCGCCGCGCTCCAGCAGGTGGAGCGGCCATCACGGCGGTCTCGTCCACCGCGTCCACCGCGAAGCACGCCGAGTCCGCGGCCACATCGACTGGCCGCGCGACAATGGACTACTTGTTGTGCGCGACGGTCTAGGGTCTCGTCAACGACGCGGTGCCGCCACGCCGGCCGTAACCATAACTCCAGGGATCGCACCGGGCCCGTTCCAAGCAAGTCGCTCTGTCTCCCTCGCACCCCGTGGTGCGCCTCGCGAGTGCGAGAGAGACAGACGCAGGGTGCGCCGAACGAGTCGCCCCGTCACACCCACGCGGCCGCCACTTCGCGGGTTGCCTACGCCACTGGAAGTGGCGGACAATTACTTCCATTTAACCGCTTGACTTTTATCTGACGAAACCGTTTTCTGGGAGCGCGGCTGCTTGCCGCCGTCGCGTTGTGCCCCCGCACGCCGAGGGGGAGGGGGGGGGGCGTCAAAGAGGTTCTGCCCGCGACGCACAACAATAGCAAGCAGGCAAAGTCGCGGACGTCACCCAGTCGCGAGGAGCAAAGACAATTGTTTGGAAACAATCCCAGAGCAAATTAAACGCGCACCTTGCTGCAGCGGACTTTCGCAAACGGGCGAAAAGTGGCTCCATCCGAGCGGCTCGGCTCGGCTCAGCTCGGCTCAGCTCAGCTATCGGCTCGGCTCAGCTCGGCTCGGCTCGGCGGCAGGAGAATGGTCTGCCGTTCCGACCGCCGCGTCCCGCGTCGCGGTGCGTCGCAGTGCGGCCGGATCCGAGCAGAGAGCAGCCAGCGCACACATGAAATCCAAGCCGAGCCATCGCCACCACCCCGGCAACGCTCCTCTTGAAACCACTTCAAGGATTCCCTTTAACTGCTTTCAATAAAACAGAATTCATGCCCGTCACTCGCCCATTTGTTCCTCAATCTCAGCCTCCCCCCTCCCCCCCCTCCTCGCTCCATACGTCCCCGTCATTCTCCACTCGTTTATTCTCCTATTTACTTATTTACGTTTCGGTCGTGTGGCGTTCAAATGGTCTCCTCTAATCATGCCGACCCTCCTCGCGTCCTTAATGTTGCCACAAGAACGACGAGGACCACGAGGACGAGGCTCGCTGTCGTCACATCCTGCGCTGTGACTCTGTGACTGTGACGGGCATCGGACGCAATCAGGGCGGAAACGAGACAAAATCAAGGGCCCCTCGAGGGGCTGCCAATATTTGACTCGGCGTGACAAACCGACGCCGCGACCATTGACAGCCAAAGGACAGCCAGCACACTGCGTTCGTCGCTCGGTCTGTCCCTCTCGCACTCGCGGCGCGTCCCGTCAGGGTGCGAGAGAGACAGAGCGCCGCTGCGACGCTCTGCTCGTGAGAGTGACCGCGCCAAAGAAACCGAGCGGAAAATTCGAGAAAACGGAATGTTTTTTTGGCTTTGGCGCGAACGCGCATGTGGGCCTGCACGCTGCACCTGCGCAGCCACTGCCAATGTGAATGCGAATGTGAATGTGAATGTGACGGCGTCGGGACGACGCACCTCGAAACGACGCAGCCAATTCCGAGATTTCATTATCATGCAAACGACGCCCGACGCCTAGGCCCGCTGCAGGCCGAACACCGTTTTCGTCGCTCCGTCTCTCTCGCACCGCGTCGGGCCGAGCCATGGGTGCGAGAGAGACAGAGCGACGAGGCTGCTGCTGGAAAGGGGGCAGCTCGCTGGCGTCGCTGCCGACTCGCAAATGATCGAGGATTTCCTGCGTGGATTGAGCTGCTCCAGCCAGCCGGCCGCCGCCGTCCTGGAGAGGCTCCTGGAGAGGCTCCTGGAGCTTGTCGCTACTGAAACGCGGCACGCGGCCGCAGGGGGTCCGGAACGGTCCGGAATCGGCACGCCAGCGGACTGATGCCGAGAGTCGTTTTCGCCGCTCTGTCTCTCTCGCACAGTCGGATCGCCCCATGAGCGCGAGAGAGACAGAGCGACGAAACCGACTCTCGGAATCGGTCTGCTGTGTCGGCGCGGCAGCGCCCGGCAGAAGCGGCAGCATTTGAAATTAATTTGAGACACGACGCACTTGAAACAGCCAAAAGCCTGACCCCGCGGCCGCGGCTCTGGCGACCCCAGAAATCCCGCATTATGTTAAGTCACGGACCTCTGAGAGAGCGAGCGAGAGAGATAGGTAGACGGAGACGGAAAAAAAATATCGGTCGATTTCCACATGGCACGCCAGGGCGTGACAGCGCGAAGGCTGTTTTGAATGGGTCGGCACCACTACGGTGTACCACCACCACGGAGCGCCACCACGGTGCGCCACCACGGCTCGCCTCGCCCCGTGCGGCAGTGCGGCACTACACTGTCATTGGTCCCTTCACCGCCTTTTCGGAGCTCCGCGAGGCCTTGCCGAGCCTCGCCAGGCCTTGCCCGTTTTTTGGGCCGTAATGAGCGGTTCGTTGGCTGTCCGGCCCGCGGGGCCACTTTCGGGGATTCCGTCCCATTCTTTTACGAAATAACTCGGGGCGAGGGAGAGGGAGAAAAAAGCGTTGTCGTGTCACGTACACTGTGCACGCGGGTCAACCGAAAATGACACGCTTCCGAGGCGGAGAGGCACAAAGAAGGCGGACTCCGGACGACGAATTTGGGGTCACACGGCGAAACGCGTCGAAGACGACAGGCAAAACACGTTGCCGTTCAAAAATTCAAAGAGTTTGGAATTTCTAGCGCAAAAATTTGTTGTTTTTTGAGTGGTAAAGAACCCTTAGTTTCTACCAGTGCGTCGCGACGAGGGCCTTGGTGGTGGCGACAGAGTTCCCGCTCCAGCCCCTCGAGAGGAAAAACACTCCACGCGCCCCGACTGGGCAGCGGGACCCGCCCACAGTCAGAACAAGAACAGAAAACAAACGCGTCCAATTTTTCCGTCGACGGTCCCGGACACTCACCACTCTTGGCGTCCAGCATGGGCATGGAGGGCGTCCGGATGGCCTTGGCCGCGATGCCCTGGTCCTGCAGCGCCGCCAGCGTCAGGATGGTGTGCAGGTTCTGGGGCAGCATCACCTGGAACAGGAACAACGGTCAGTTTCGACGGTACAGGAATCCGCACTACCGGGGATCAACAAGAAAAGGAAATCGCCAATGCGTCTCGGCATTGCCGCCCGGACGACGCGCCGTGATGGCGAGGCGCTTTATGGCCATCCTGACACCGATGTGCCCGGCCCCGGGGTTTATGCTTCGTGCATGTTCGTCACGTGGCCGGCTCGACGGACTGCTAGACGCTTTGGACGGCGGACGACCGTTCGCGATTGGCTCTTGTCCTAAACAGTCAAAAGTCACTGCTCCCTGACAAGTGGAGTCTATGGGTTTCTATGGGTTTGTACGGAGTTTGCATTGAGGTGTCACTGGAGCCAGAGAGCCAGCCGCTACAATGGGAATCCATCCAAAGCGCGTCTGCGCCATTTTTTCGACACTCGTCGTGCGTGAGTCCGTGAGTCTCAATATTCCGCGCGCCCACACACACACTCACACACACACACACACACACACACACACACGTCGTCAGGCCTCGCGTTAACGTGTGTGTGTGTGTTACGCCAAGGCGAGACCATTAGCAGTGGCGCGCACACACACAAATATAAAATTGCCGCGCCGTGTAATTACACGTTCCAGGTTTATGTGTATATGTGTGTATATCAAGTATATATTTGTGAGTGTGTGCGTGTGTGTGTGAGCTGCAGCTGCGGGCGGCGGCAGCCATATTTATGCACACGTCCTTCCTTTTGCACCGCCGTAGACCCATAACGTCGATGGGCCCAGTCACCGCCGCGGGCCAGTCAAATTGATTTGGAGCGCCTGGACGTGCAGAGAGAGAGAGAGAGAGAGAGGAGAGAGAGAGAGAGAGAGAGGAGAGAGAGAGAGAGGAGAGAGAGAGAGAGAGAGAGAGAGAGAGAGAGAGAGAGAGAGAGAGAGAGAGAGAGAGAGAGAGAGAGAGACGTGTGCCCACTACTAGAGCGCTGCTCTCCTTGTCCGTTTGATGAGGTTTCTGGCCGGGCCATTACACTAAGTTGCGTCTTAATGGAGTCCGCGCCTCAAGCTCCGAGTCCCCGCTCAACCTTCCGACATCAGGCGCCCTTCCTTCTCCGCGTCGCGACGACGCGAGTTCGGAGGATCAAACCGCGACGCGGGCCCACGCCGCGAACAGCAGCGACCTCTGGCCGACTCCCGGCGGTGATTCTCGGAACCAGCGACAATCGTCCGCTGACGTGTACACTGTACACTACTTTGGGCCCCGCCCCTTATTCGGTATTCACAAGGGGCCGATATTTATTTATCCATTAGGTGAGAGCGCCCCCCCCCCCCACTCCAAGTTGGTCATTCCCACTTGACAAGACCCACACTAATGCAAGTTACGGCTAAATTAATGAGCAGTTTGTCTTCTAATTACTATCCAACCCCTTTTCCTGGTCTCATCACTTAACTTCCCTGCGGTCGTCATCGTCGTCTGGATTGGAAGAGGAAAGACTGAGTGAGGGACAGGGAGGGGGCAGCGCGTCCAAACCTCACCCGTGTTTGGAAAGTGAATGATTCAGCAGGCCTTCTGGGTCCTGGCGGCTTGGCGATGGCGGCCCTGCCGTCCGAAGGGGTTAGTTACGCCGAGTAATATTCCATCGCGACCGATCATCCACAAATAGTAGCCCGGGCCACCGCCTTGCATTAACCACGCGCGGGGCGTGGCGTGGAGGGGGAGGTGGGGGGGGGGGGCTCCTTGTGTATTCACCTCGGCGGCCCGCGCGCCACCGATTTCAGATCGAGGCGGATCGCGGCGGTGTTTGTCGAATCGTCACCGCGCCGCACGCACGCCGTGCGCTCTGTCTCTCTCGCACTCGCGGGGCCGCCCGGCAGGGTGCGAGAGGGACAGAGGATAAGGCTTTTAATTGCGAGGAATCCAATTGCCGCAACACTGCGTGACACTGCGTGACACTGCGAGCCGCTTTGATGGATGCGTGGCCCTGCCCCGCGGCTCGCCACGGCACGGCCGGAGGTGTTACTTTGGCCCACCACACCGATCCCATCGACCTATCGCCCTTCAAAAGCGCCCCAATCTCGAAGCTCGAATCTCGAATCGAGATCTCGAATCGAGCTCCTGACAGGACCAGCGAATTGCCCTTCGACCCGCGAATCTATTGGCACGTTCGAGGGTTCGATTGGAGCCCTATTTAGGGACAAGGTCAAGTTTCAGACTTGCGCCCTTCGGCACTGTCCGTCCCCGGGACAAGCACCTGGACTCCTAAAACAACGAAGACGTCCTTTTGAAGTCCTGGCCGAGCACCGGCGTGCGTGTCGGCCGCTCGTCCAAGGCGAAAATGTTGATTTTCCTTCCTTTCCCTCCGCGTGTTTTGGTTGTTGGCAGCGACACGGAGAAGCGAAAACACAAGGGACACACACGCTGCGCGGCAGACCGCTCTCTCTCTCTCTCTCTCTCTCTCTCTCTCCTCCCTCTCGCACTTGTCGGCTTGTCGGGGGTCGCGAGGGCGCGAGAGAGAGGCTTTGCTGGCAGCGGGCCGACGCCGCGTCATAGCCACTTTTCGGCCGCGGGATGCGACGACGCGACGAAGTGAAGAGGGCGAAATAGTAACGCTCCGATTGAGGCGCGAGTAACGAGGTGCTTTCCACGTCAATATTCAAGCGACCCGCTGCAATTCGTTTAATGGCCCTGCCGTGGCGTGGCGTGCCGTGGCGTGGCGTGCCGTGGCCGGAAACTTGGTGACCGGTGGGGCGCCGAGGCGGAGTGAGGTTGGACGTCGATGTGAGGCACGCTTTATCCGCTTGTCAAAAAAAAGTTTCAAGGAGGAAGGGGGGGGGAGAGAGAGGACGACACTAACGACGGTGGAATCGAAATCAATACACGCCAGCAAGACGTCGCGTCAAAATACCCCTTTCCACTGCTTCCCCCAGAGCTGCTCCATAGAGTGGCATCGGACGGCATTCAGTCGTTCGTGGAAGTGACCGAGTGTGTGCCCCGGCGGCCACCTCACTGCCAAGCGTGCTGCCCAGCGTGGACTTGGGCCCCCAAAACTGGCCGCGACTCCCCAATACGTAAACGCGCGACTAATGAAATGGGGCGAGACAACGGGCGATGTTCCCACAGTGCGGGCGATCGCGTCGAACCTCGCGGACGGACACTCGCATTCGAATGCACCCGCCTCGACAGAATGCATTTCGGCTGCACTTCGGACCACCGCGCGTACAGTATTTGGGCGGGAAAAACGAGTCGACTGTCTCTGTCGCACTCACGTCGCGTCCCGGTGGGGGCGCGAGAGAGACAGAGCGACGGAACCACATTGCAGTTCAGCCCGCTGACTGCACTCCCACGCCTGCGAGGTCCTTGTGGGGCATCTGGTTCTCATCACCACGATGTAATGCAAAATCCCCCTCCCTTTTCCCAATCACCAGCACTCTCATTCCGTTCGGAAGCTGGCGAGAGAATGCCCTCCAAAGTCCGTCCCGTCCGTATGTGGTTTGAGGTCTTTGAGGTCGGCGAGGGAGTGCTGGACCATTTCTTGCTAGAACGGCATTAATGATAGGCGAGTAATTCGAGGACTAATCGACCCGCAATAAGATCGTCCGTCTCTCTCGCTCGCGCCCCTCGCGCCCCGTGAGTGCGACAGAGACAGAGCGACGGAAGCACCACTGGCAGTCAGCCCGAAGAAGAGCGCCCCAACTGTCGGAGAAACTCAGCGCAGTTGCGGTCTTTTTGCCGCGGTCTCTCCGCCAGGCTGCTACACCGCAGTGTAATGGACGGGCTCGCATTCGCGACCGCGGACTGCCGGACTGACCAACCCCTCCAGCTCCAGGGCCTCCAGGGCCTCCAGGGCCTCCAGGGTCACGAGGTCCTTCCCCGCGCCTGGCCGCCTCGCTGCCACTGCACTGCCTTGGCACTGCCCCGCCCAGCCAGCCGGCCGGCCCAGTTTTTACCCGTTTCTCAATTATCATCCCGCATCAGCCCTTCCTTTCCTGGAGTGCCTGGAGTCCAGCAGGCCGCGCTCCTGCGGGCCGGTCCCGGGCGGCGCTCTGTCTCCCTCGCACTCACGGGGCGCGCCGAAGGGTGCGAGAGAGACAGAGCGCGCTGCTCGGAGTCCCCCGCTCGGACGGTGTAACGAGGGGGCGGGCCGCACTCATCTCCATGGCCATCACCGTCGCGGTGTCGCCCGGAAACAACAACAACACCGACTCCTTCAAACAACAAGAACGGGGCGCGCTGGAAAAGCAGTGTAGCGGTGGCGTGTGTTTCCCATATGCTACTCAATTTGGTTCGTTATTCCTGTCTGCCGCTTCCGGTCCATCCTTTTGATTGCCGAGCCGAGCCGAGCCGAGCCGAGCCGAGCCAGGCCTCGGGGCAGCACCGGGACGGACCCTGCTCGCCCCACTGCGGTCGCCCAAGATATCATCTGATTGGATACAAAGACCACGACGGCCAACTGGAACTGAACCCCCAACTATCTCCGCTCCAGGGATTAGCGCGGCGGCTCCGTCTCTCTCGCACTCACGGGCGTCCCGCGTGGGGGTGCGAGAGGGACGGAGTGAGCCCGCAGAAGCTGCACAGTGGGCCAGAAGACCGGTGGAGGCGGCAAAAATTCAAAACGCGTTTCGAGCTTCACAGTCAATAAACAAGACTCGAATCGAAACGTGTGACCCCACCAATGGATTCCTCGCTCGGAGAGCAATCTATTGATGGGGTCACACGTTCGGTTCGAGTCCCACTTAGCGACTCTGGAGCTCAAAACGCGTCAAGAATTTTTGCCACCTCCACCGGTCTTCTGGGCCACTGTGAGCTGGCGCGGTCTACAACCTAACCCGTTTACATCTTGGGCGAGGGCAGAGGCTAACTCGGGCCAAGCGGCGGCCGCGGCTCGCCGCAGCGCCACGCAAAATAGGATAAGGAGAGGCCAGGTAAGTGAGGAAGGCGAGGCGAGGAGGCTTCATGCTCCGCGCGACACCGCCAGGCCGTGCCGTGCCACGCACGGAAGGCAGGTCTTACGTGGAGGCACCGAGGGGCTTTC